CCATAGAGAACGTGTGCCATGTCTTGTTTCAAGCTGTCGGGGTGAAGCTGTCCTTCTCTCCGGTCTAGATAATTGCAGCTAATTGTGGCATGTGATGCATTCACCTGCTGCTCAGGCTGAGCGTAAGGCAGTTTTTGTGCTTTATTCCGACTCTTTCGGTTGCGTTTGGAGGCAAAGGTTTTCTTGAATTTTCTTCTGTCTGAGCGGCGCTAAATGGAGACAGGGGAGAAGAGACTGGAGAACACCTCTCAGGGTGGTCTGAGGATCTCGGATACACAGTGGTCTTGTGTCTGCATACTTTTGGATTTTACAGCTCAGGTACTACCGTACGGGCTGAAATGACCTTACAAATATTTTCCAGCAAAATTTCAAGGAGTAGATTCAGGAGCTGGGCCCTGTCTTACTTCTTGAATGTGAAGAAATCAGAGCTTTACTTTATAGTATGCAGAAGAGCCTCATTTTCATTGGGAACAAGACTGGATCATGTTGACCTTGAGCTGAAGTCCTGAACAACTCGGCACACTGCTCGTTCCCGTGTTTCTCCTCAACGAATATCACCGCATGGCGTTGCAGACCACTGCCTGTTTGGCGTGCATCTGGCCGCTAAACCTGGACGTCTGCTGTCTTGAGCATTGACCCGCGATGTGTTGGAGAACGCTGCTGGTTCTGCGTGTCCGCGTTTCCTGTAGTGTGTAGATAGATTTTTTTTTTTTTAAACAATCCTACATGACTAACTTGCCTTTCAAGATGAACTCTGGCATAGAAGAGATGATCCCAGAGCAAAGAACAGGTAGAAGCTGAGATGAACACGGTGGTGATTTTTCTGTCTCTTCATTTGTTCATGTTCAAACACAGTGAAGTCCAGACTTTGATCGTAGCCTTACCTATTCTTTCAGTGCTTTTTGAATAGGCAGCTCCTCTGAGTTTGGAAGCAATTGCGAGTTAAATCAGTCAAAAAGTGTTGTGAGTGATGATTAGAAATTGAGGAGCGCTGGGCTGTGTTCCAGGAAGGCCTTGTCCTTTTAAGAAAGCGAGGAGAGGAACTGCAGCACCTACTTTGGCTGAGAGGGAGTGAAGGCAGCTCTAACAGCTGGAAGAAAGGCAAAATTGCCCGTGCGTATGCAGTCTCTGAATGGTAGAAGACTGGTGGGGAGAAAGGAATTTGAAGAAGGCTTTGCAAGTGTATTAAAAGCAAAATTTGAATTCTGATGTTGCTCTCTTTGTAGGTGGAGATGGTGGAATGCGTGATTGTGCATGGAGGAGGGAGAGAAGTGGCAAATTTGTTTTATGTTTGGGAAACTCCAGGCAATAAGTTCATGTGACGTAATGAAATGCTATCCAGTGTAATGCTGAGGCGTGAAAGAAAGCAACTCAAGTTGAGTGCTCTTTGTTATGAGATCCCATAAACTTTCATACAGCAGTGTTTAAAGTGTCTGGGTGAGATCTGTGTACTATTGAACTTGGATTTAATGGCATAACCCTCGTGCCTACTATTTCTTTTTGGCTGGGGGTGCGGAGGCCTGGAGGCAGTCCGCAGAAAATACCGAGCAAAGGGCTTTAATTGGAAGTTAAGATCGGTGGCTCTGAACTCCTTAATATTTTTGTTATTACTATTATGATATTATTACTATTATGATCACTGGAGAGGCTCAAGAGAACCACATGGATGAATACAAGCGCTGTATTTACAGCATGCTAACCGTGAGGCCCAGGTTCAAGAGAGAAGTTGAGCTGGGGAGTTGGGAGAGCTCTTGGATGGCTGCAAGACGTGAGGATTTCCCGGTCTTTATTGAGAGAATCGCGAAGCTCAGTCTATACTTGTTTTGCCTATGCAGGAACAAATACTTGATAACAGATGCGGTCTTCCCGCTGAAGATATGGCGACGCAGCTGGAAGATGAGGCTAGACAGACTGCATATTTTTTAAATGAGTGTTTAAGCATGGGAGCAACTTGCCAAAGGTTATGATTGAATCTTCTTCACGAACAAGTCTGAAATGAAGACTAACTTTTTTTTTTTTTTTTAGTAGAGGCTTTAGTTCGCATTGGATTTAATTCAGGGAAGTCTTGTTGCTTAAAGGGTGCCATAGATAAGGGCTGCAAAGCCATTGCCTTATAGCATGGTTCAAAATCAGAAGTGCTCCTCTGCAGTGCCGCTTCCTAATCTGAGTCT